AGTCTGGCCATCCTGGCTTCTAAGGAACATTCTGGCTGTACTTCTTCCAATTCAGATTTGTTTGTTCTTCTAGCAGTCCATGGAGTTTTTAATATTTTTCTTGAACACTGTTACTCAAATGCATCAATTCTTCTAATGTCTTCCTTATTCATTGTCTAACCTTCACATGAATATGAAGCTAATGAAAATATTACGGTTTGGGTCAGGCACACCTTTGTCCTTAAATGAATATTTTGCTCTTGAACACTTTAAAGAAGTCTCCTGCAGTAGATTTGCCTAATGCAATACATAATTTGATTTTTGGAATGCTGTTTCCTTGAGTGTTGATAGTGGATCCCAGCAAATAAAATCTTTGACAACATCAATCTTTTCTCCATTAATCATGATGTTATTTACTGGTCCAGTGGTGCGGACTTTTATTTTCTTTACACTGAGCTGAAACTATACTGAAGGCTGTGGTCTTTGATCTTCATCAGTAAGTATTTTAAGACCTCTGTTCTTTCAGAAAGCAAGGTTGTATCATCTGCATACCAAAGGTTGTTGGTGAATCTTCCTCCAATCCTGATGCCACAATGCCAGGTTCTCGAATTATTTGCTCAGCATACAGAATAAGTATGGTGAGAGAATACAACCCTGCCACACACCTTTCCTAATTTTAAACCATTCAGTGTCCCCTTGTTCTGTTTGAAAGACTGTCAGGTTCTTCATGAGTACAATTAAGTGTTCTGAATACTCATTCTATGCAATGTTATCCACAACTTTCATGATCCACACATTTAAAAGCCTTTGCACAGTCAATAAAGTACAGGTAAACATCTTTCTGGTATTCTCTGCTTTCGGTCAAGAGCTATCTGATGTCTCATTCTACACCCTCATCTGAATCCTGCTTGAACCTCTAGCAGTTCCCTGTCAATGTACTATTGCAGCTATTTTTTTAAAAATTATCTTTAGCAAAATTTTATTTGCATGTTATATCAATGATATTGTTTGATGATTTCTGAATTCCATTTGGTCACCTCTCTTTGGAATGGGCACAAGCATGGATTTTTTGCAGTCCATTGGTAAAGTAGCTGTGTCCAAATTTCTTGGCATACATGAGTGAGCCTCCAGTGCTGCATCAGTTTGTTGAAAGATTTCAGTTTACATTCCATCAATTACCAGAGCCTTGATTTTTGCCAATGCTTTCAGTGCACCTTGAACTCCTTTCTTCAGTATCACAGGCCCTTAATTATATGCTACCTCTTGAAATGGTTAAACATAGACCATTTCTTTGTGGTACAGTGACTCTCTATATTCCTTCCATCTTCTTTTGATTCTTTCCGATCATTAAATATTTTGCCTTTAGAATCCTTCAATATTGCAAGTTGAGGCTAGACTTTTTTCTTCAGTCCTTTCATCTTCAGAAATGTTGAGTGTGTTCTTCCCTTTTGGTTTTTTAACTCCAGGTGTTTGCACATTTCATTATAATATTTGACTTTGTTTTCTAGAGCTGACCCTTTGAAATGTTAAGTTCCGCTCTTTTACCTTCTCATTTTTCCCATTTACTTCAGTGTCTCTACACTGAAGAGCAAGTTTCAAATCTCTTTTGATACCCATTTTGATCTTTTTCTTCTTTATTGTCTTCACAATGGTCTTTTGTTTTGTTCTTGATGTCATCCCACAACTCTTTTGGTCTTTGGTCATTGGTATATCTAATGCATGAAATCTGTTCATGAGATGGTCTCTAAATTGAGGTGGGGTATGTTTATGGTCAAATTTTGGCTCTGGTGGACTTGTTTTACTTTTCTTCAGTCTCAGCCTAAACTTGCATATGAACAATTGATGTTTTTTTTCCACAGTATGTCTTGGTCTGGTTTGGCTGATGATATGGAGTTTTTCTACTGTATCTTCCTACTTTGTAGTCAGTTTGATTTATATGCATTCCTTCTGGTGAGGTCCATATATGTAGTCTGTTATGTTGTTTTAAGGTATTTGCAAGGAATAAATCATTGGTTTTGAAATTTTCTAATATGTGATTTCCAACATTGTTTCTATCACCAAGGCCATACTTTCCAATGGCTGATTCTATTTGTTTCCAACTTTCCATTTGAATTACTAGTAATTATCAATAAATTTTGATTGTATGTTTGATCTATTTCAGACTGAAGAATTGGTAGAACTCTTCAATTTCATCAGCACTGGCTTTAGTGGTTGGTGCATAAATTTGAATGATAGTGGTGTTAACTGGTCTTCCTTGTAGGCTTAAGATTACTTAAACAATGTTTGATTAATTGTAGGACATTGAGAACAGAGGGGACTAACTTGAACAATAAAAACACTTGGAGAATCAGTTTTAGATGGGGACCCCACAGGTTAATGAGCTTTACCTCCTGGAGTCCCACAAAATTCTCATAGTGAATATTGGAGAAAATGTCCTCTTGTTTCCCTCAGGGTGAGAGGAAAAGTAACCATTTTGAAATACATCCAGAGTACAACCTTGTTCTCCTTAATAATGATGTGACCTGAAGGGAAACTATTTTACCAGGCCAGTGGCCAACATGGGTTTTACTAGAACATAACTAAGATGGAGTTGGAAAGAAAAAAGGGAAGCACACATTCAGTATTACTCAAGCTAAACAAACTGAATTAAAAATTCAAGACTAAGGATGCAATACTGAAGGATTCTATGGGTAAAATACTGAATGATGCCAAAAGCATCAAAAGAAAATAAAAGGAATAAAATCACTGTAGTAAAAATAATTTGTCAATGTTCAACCATTTCAAGAGGTTCCATATGTGCAAGAATCGATGGTACTGAAGGAAGAACTTCCAGTTGCACTGAAGGCCCTGGGGGTGGGGGGGACTGTGGTGTTGGCAATTATCCAATGTCTCTCCCAGACATAGTCTGCAACTCCCACCAAACAACACTTCTGCCTTCTGAGTGTGACTAAGAGAAGGTAGGAGAAGATACTGATAGGATGGCATGATGCAGCTGCAGATGTCAGCAGAGTTAATTATATTTGTGAAAACTTGAAACTCTAGCATGGGCTTAAAATGAGCCATTTCAGAAGCAGAAGAGGATTTCAATATCATTAAAGACTAAGAGAAAGGATTAGGCCCTGAGATCCCTGCTCATTGGAACTCCTCAACCCAAGGACACCAGAGGAATGGTCAAGAAGCAGCAGCAGAACCAAACACCAGAGTACGAGGCAGAGCAGTGGACTTCTCACTTCACAGAGCAAGTAAAGCTGAGTAACTTTGGTCAGGAAGCTTGCTTGTAGAGTGGGATGCCTCCAGGCACATAAATGGGGGAGTTAGGTTTGCTGACTCACAGAGTTAGAGCCAAGTGCCTTCCCACTGAGGTTTATGATGGAGTAGTGTGTCTTGTGGACATTCATCAGCTGCTGACTAGAATCACTGTGCCCTGAGCTTTTCTGACCCCAAAGTGTAACCTGTTAACTTCCCTATTAAACCAAAAGAGTGTGCGCATGGTGACGGAGTCCTGCATGGCTCCTGCAATGAGTTATTGACCCAGCTAAGCACAGAAGGTTATGGGAGGAATAGTTGGTACCACATATTTTCACAACAATGCTCCAGAAATGGACAGAACACAAAAATAAATGTTTCAATCAACAGATGCAGTGCTGGATACCCTCACTCATCAATGGCTAGACATTTGGAAGACAACTACATGGCCTACTAATTGGAAAAGATCCATATTTGTGACCATTCCAAAGAGAAGTGACCCAGTGAAATGTAGAAATCATCATCAAACAATATCATTGCTATAACATACAAGTAAAATTTTGCTGAAGATAATTGAAAACCAGTTAAAACAGTACAAAAATATCAGTTTGAGGACCAAAGTACTATGACAGAAGCCAATAGTACAATGCTGACTGTGATAGGATAATATCCATATGCCTAGAAGGAATACCAGTTCATACAATTATTATTGAAATTTACCAATTTCTTCTGTATGAAACCAATCATACATGCAATCAAGATTGACAATTACTGGCGATTAAAATGCAAAGATTGGAAACAAAAAGGAGGGATCAGTCAATGGAAAATATGGCCTTGGCAGTATAAATGATGCTGGAAATCGCATGATAGAATTTTATAAGACCAATGATTTCTTCAATGCATATACCTTTTTTAAACAACAGAAAGTAATACTCTACACAGGGGTGTCACCAAATGGAATGTACATTGACTATATCTGTGGAAAGAGATGGTGGAAAAGCTCCATATCATCAGCCCAAGCAAGGCCAGGGCCAGACTGTGGAACAGACCATCAACTGTTCATATGCAAGTCCAGGTTGAAGCTTAAGAAAATTAAAACAAGTCTATGAAAGCCAAAATACAACCTTGAGCATATCCCACCTGAATTTGGAGATCATCTGAAGACTAGATTTGTTGAATTAGATACTAAAGACCAAAGGCCAGATGTGTTATGGGTTAATATCCAGAATATTATAGAGGAAGAAAGCAAAAGTTCACTAGAAGACAAGAAAGAAGGAAAAGTTCAAAACGGATGCCAGAAGAGACTCTGAAACTTGGTCTCCACCACAGAGATGCTAAAGAAAATGGAGGAAATTAGGGGGTAAAAGCGATGAACACAAAATTTCAAAGGGCCGCTCGAGAAGACACAGTGAATAGCACAAAATGTACAAAGACCTGGACTTAGAACACCAAATGGGAAGAACACACTCAGCATTTCTGAAGCTGAAATAACTCAAGAAAAAAGTCTAGCCTCAACTTATAATATTGAAGGATTCTATAGGCAAAATATTGAATGATGTAGAAAGCATCAAAAGAAATGGAAGGAATACAAAGTTACTGTATCAAAAGAAATGGCTGATGTTCAATCATTTCAAGAAGTAGCAAAGGAACAAGAGTCCTTTGCTACTGAAAGAAGAAATCAAAGGTGCACTGAAGGCATTGGCAAATAACAAAGCTCTGAGAAGTGATGGAATACAAATTGAAATCTTTTAACAAACTGTTAAAACTGTAAACACTGGGGAAGTCTTTGGACAGTATCATTAATATCACATGCAAGTAAAATTTTCCTAAAGATAATTCAAAAATAGCTGCAACAGTACATTGACAGGAAACTACCTGAGGTTGACGCTGGATTCAGGCTAGGATGCAGAACAAGGGATATCATTGCTGACATCAGATGTACCTTGGCAGAAAACAGAAAATACTAGAATGAAGCTGGGTTTTGTTGTTAAGCTTCATGGAGTCCGTTCCAACTCATAGTGACCTTGTATAGAGTATTAGAGAAGCAGCTGGTGAGTTTGAACTGCAATCTTTTGGTTCTAACTCACCATGAGGTCAAGTGATTATCCTATGGTGACACACCAGGACTGCATACTTATTCAAATAATCGGAGAAGCTGGATTGTATAAAGAAGAACATGGCATCAGGATTGGAGGAAGAATCATTATGAACCTGCAATATGCAGATGATACAACCTTGGTTGCTGAAAGCGAAGAGGACTTGAAATACTTACTGATGAAAGTGAAAGACCACATCCTTCTCTATCGGCTGCACCTCAATATAAAGAAAACAAAAGTCTTCACCACTGGACCAATAACTAACATCAAAGTAAATGGAGAAAAGATTGAAGCTGTCAAAGACTTCATTTTGCTTGGATCAACCATCAACACTCAAGAAAGCAGCAGTCAAGAAATCTAAAGACACATCGCATTAGGCTAATATGTTGCACAATATCTCTTTAAAGTGTTCAAGAGAAAAATATCCATTTGATGACAAAGGTATGCCTGACCCAAGCCATGGTATTTTTAATTGCTTCATATGCATGTGAAAGTTGGACAATTAATAAAGACTTTAGATGAACTGATGCATTTGAATTATGGTTTGGGGGGAGAATATTAAAAGTACCATGGACTGACAAAAGAACAAACAAATCTGTGTTGGAAGAAGTATAGCCATAATGCTCCTTAGAAGCCAGGATGGCGAAACCTCGTCTCTCATATTTCGCACATATTATCAGGAGGGTCTATCCCCTGGAGAAGGACATCATGGTTGGTAAAGTGGAGGTTCAGTGAAAAAGATGAAGACCCCAACAAGATGGATTGGGACAGTGGCAGCATCAATGGGCTCAAAAGCATTGCAAGGATTGTGAGGTTGGTACAGGACCAGGCAGTGTTTGGGTTTTATGTGCATATGGTCGCTATGAGTTGATACCGACAGATATTGCCTAATAACAAGAGCCTTCAGACAAGGAAGTTGTGGTGAGCTGCTCCCATAAAGACTATAGTCTTGAAAACACTATGGGGCAGTTCTACTGTGTCATATGGTGCTGCAATGAATCAAAATGGGCTTGAAGGCACCTAACAACAACAATAATCATGGAAATTGTATCCATTATCAACAAACAAATAGCGATTCAATCTTAAAAGAAACCCTTTTTGGAGATCAATTGGGATTTGTCTCAATGCTAGCCTGAGTCCTTCCCTGAGGTCGCCATTTTGCTCTCTTTATGACATTGTTTCAGGGAAGGAAGCGCTCTAGTTTCCTCCTGTGAGCCAGAGGGAAAGCTGACATTTTAAAATGACAATCTACTTCCTGAAAATTAAAAGTCCCGACTGAATTCTATCTTACTGGAATAGCCGCTAAAAGTCAAATGCTACTTGCCCCCACTTTCTAAGTTATTCTCAGACCCACCATGAACTAATTCCTGAGATTCAGAGTTTGTGATTCTCCTAGCTTTTCTGTCTGTATGAAAGTTAAAATTTAATCAGCTACCACACTTATTTTTGTCATTAAGTGCCCTAAAGTCAGTTCTGACTCGCAGCAACCCTGCACAGGGTTTCTGAGGAGCGGCTGGTGTGTTTGAACACCTGACCCTGCAGTTCACAATCTGCTGCTTATTCTATCTACAGTGCCATACCGGGACTCCAGCTACCACACTAAACTTTCCAATTTTCAAAATATACTTCACTGGGGTTGTGACTCTCAGTAGTAAATGAATGTTCTAAGAAGAGCATGTGTAGTCTATTTATCTGTTATTTACATTTTTTACATTTAATCTAAAATTAAAACTACAATGACATCATTTTCATCTTCAAAATTATTTATTTTAAATATTAACTCGTAAGTCAGTTTCCCAACTCAATTTAATTTTTTCCTATAAAGTCACATTTTGGATTCCTCTATATACCGAGCCATGCTCCATGGTCCATGAATATATGCATTAGAGCTGCAGCAGTGTGAACAAATTTATCAATAGCTCACAAGGCACAGAACTGAAATACCACTCTAATTTGAAGTCTACTGACAACTCTCTGAAACTAAAACCTTTCAATTTATCAAAGATGGATTTATTCATGATTTTTGACCTTAAAAGATTTGAAGGGAGAGTGCTAAAAAAAATGGAAAGGTCTAATCATTGGATAAAAACTGCTCCTAGTATATAAAATATTATTTCCAAATTCCAGTAGTGTAAAACAACAAAGAAACACAAACTGTGGTGTCTTTTTATCCTCCCATAATTGAAGACGTGAACTTTGAACTGGCTTGAGCCTAATACCATTCAAGTTACATTTTAATGTCCTCATTAAAAGTAGGATAAAGAAGACAACAAATGTTGGGCATGGATGGATATCTAATCATAGACAATAAGAAAAAGATTCAAGATTTCAAGAATGTTTACTTTGAGGATAAATGTATACTCCTAGAAAAATTACAAGACTCTGAGAACAATGAAATAACAATTTTAAAGAATGTCTCAGAAATTATCTCCAGAATTATCAGGTACTAATTCTTCTGTCTTCACCTTGCATGGGGAGCATTTTTTCATTTATATTTTGGAGCATTTTCCCCCATTGTGCACTGCTCACCACCCAAATCAACAGAGGGTAGATTCAAATTGTACACAGAGGATTCAAAGAGTCTGAAGAAAAATGGAATGAAAAGATAGTGGAATATTTTCACAAACTTTTTTGAAGCTTCACTTATAATTAAGGGTTAAGAGGAAGGCATTTTACCAATATAGAACAAAGATCTCAAGTAAAATCATGATGATAAAATACAGATCTAGATTAATTAGTCTGGGGGTTTCTGACAAAATAAAAGTGGGGAAAAATAGAACATTTTCTCTACTTTTTTTGTGTAGTGGTGGGAAGAGTGGGTATATGTGATCCTACTCACCTTATGGGAATGGGGTTGCTCCAATATACCCCCAAATCCCACACCTCAAATTATTACAAATGATCACCACAAGTTAAAGTAACTACCAAGAAAAAAGGTAAGCAGTTGCTGTCAAGTGGATTCCAACTCATGGTGAGCCCATGTGCTGTGGAGTAGAACTGCGCTCCACAGGATTTTCAAGACTGTGATCTTCCAGAAACAGACAGACGGTCAGGCCTTTCTCCACAGGGACCTCGGAGTGGGCTCAAATCCCTAAACCTTGAGTTAGTAGTAGAGGTGAGCACTTAATCATTTATCCCACCCAGGGTCTCCCAGAAAGAACAAGAGGGATGGGCTCAGAGGATAACCTGTGAATTCACAGGACCAGAGAGCTCTGGCTTTTGAAATGGGGATTGAGCTGGCTCCATGCCAGCCTTGGTTCCTGCTGCATAGCACATCTGTGTGTGGAACAAGGGCAAATAGAGCATCTCACTTCAACAGGAGAGTTCTACTTAACTGAATTCCTTGGATATCTGAGGGTGAAGTTGCAAGGGCTACTGCCCCTAGAACACTACCCAGGGTAAATGATTGACTTTAGTATATAAAGCTGGAGAGGAAGGGACTTCTGAGGGCTGGGGCAATTGGAAAAAGGCCTTATCCACAAAGGGAGACTGAGAAAATCCTCGAAGAAAGGTCGGTTTTGAACCAAGGTTTTGAACAGCTTCCTTCAGGTTAAATCCCCTGCAGAAAATCTGCATTTCCACCAGGTAGACTAAATTAGAATCTACAGTGTAACAAGATGCCCAGGTGATTATTATAGATTCTCAGGGGTCCTGGTGTGGTGCTGTAGTGTAAGCACTGTACTGCTAAGAAGTTCAGCCGTTCAAACCCATGAGCCACTACGCAGAATCCCTATACAGGGTCACTGTGAGTTGGCACCAACTCTCCAACAACAGGTGATTCTTACATATACATTAACCATCCAGGGATCATGTTAAAATGTAGATTGTGACTCTACCTAGTGTGGAAATGCAAATTCTCTGCAGGGGTTGAAACTGAATGAACTGCTTCAAAATCCTGTTTTGAACAAACAGAGCCAAGAAAGAATATTAGCAGTAAGTAGGAGCAAATGTTCAGAGGTAAGGCCTAGGGAGCACTGTTGTCAGAGACCTTGTATAGGGTTTCTAAGGAGTGGCTGGTGGATTTAAACTGCCCAACGTTGCAGTTCAAATTGAACTTGTGGTTCAGTACTCATTCTGCAGTGCCACATTGGAAAAAAATCCAGAGCCTGATCTAACTGCACCAGGGACAAAGTTAAGTAGAGACCTACAGGAGAAAATTTGGGGAGTTGAAAAGGGACCAAATACACAGAAATAAATTGCCATAAAATAGCAGGTCTACAGTAGTGCAGACTCTTGAGCCCCATGCTCCAAAGGCCATTGAATTGATTCAGACTAATGGTGACCACATTGCTAGAAAAAGACATCATGTTTGATAAAGCAGACAGTGAGCAAACAACAGGAAAACCCTCAATGAAGTAAAAGACTGGAACATACCAATAATGATGAAGTTTCCTTCTGTTGTGCTAAGGTTCTCAAGAATTGCTTCCTCCTCTTACACAAAAGATGCCCAAGAATTGCAGCTGACTGGACAGCAACTAAAACAACAGCCCGTTACTATCTGAAAGGTGATCTGCAAGCTCATAACATCAGCAACAGCTGGAAGCTTATGGAGATGCAGAATCTATACTCCAGTCCTACGGAATCTCAGGACATTCTCCAGCATTTTAACAAGACCCCATATGATCCGTGTGTAAGTTATTGCCAGTTGACTTGAATATATTTAGTTGAATGTGCCATCTGAATCACCTGGCATTCTAAAACTGAAGACAACTCAAAAATCTCCACCTTCAACAAACACCCAAATGAGACAAGTGAGAGGGTAGAACATTAACTTGATGACTTATGAAGGCTAGAAGTAAGGGTAGAGGAACCAGCAGTAACAATTATGTAGACTTGCACTTGCTTATGTTTATGAACAGAAGGTCAACCAAACCAACCTAAAACACTCTTTTTAATTGCAGCTGGGCATCTTCAGACATAGGATTGACTGAATACCAAGGAGCGCTCCCTGATAACTCCAGCAGTTCATTCCAGAGGTAGCATCCTCATGCCCTCTTCCTCTTTCCCTGGATTCCAGGAGGAGTCTCCAAATAAAGGGCTCAATTAATAGTGTGTTGTATATGTACAATGGAAGGAATATTGCTTGGCATCTAGTGTGTGTTCCATAAATGAGGTAACAATGATTACCACTGTCTTTATTGTGCTTTTTTTTTTTTTTTTTTT